CCCGAGCGCCGTGCGGAGCGCACCCGCCTCCCCGCGGCGCGCCGGGCTCGCCCCCAGCGCGCGCACACGCGCGCGCGCACACACACTCGCTCACACACTCACACACTCACACACGTGTGCGCTCTCCGCTCCGGAGCCGCGGCTGCTCCTGCTCTCAGCGCCGCAGTGGAAGGCAGGGCCGAACCGCTCCTTCTTTAAATACCTAAATTACCGCCCGGCCAGCCTCGGCGGCCCCCCGCACAGCGCTCCCGGCGCCCCTCCCGCCAGCTCGCCAGCTGCCAGCCCCGGGACCTTTTCATCTCTTCCCTTTTGGCCGGAGGAGCCGAGTTCAGATCCGCCACTCCGCACCCGAAACTGACACACTGAACTCCGTTTCCTCCTCTTAAATTTATTCCTGCCTAATAGCCACTCGTCTCTCCCCCCCACCCCACCCCCCAACTCGTCGCTCCAAGAAAACTTTTTCTTACTCCCCAAAGTTAGGGTTCTCCCTGCCCACCGTGTGTTAATGTTTCCACTTTTGGAACGACCTGCATCTTCTTTTTAAAGGAATTCAAGCAAGATACCTTTTTCCATTGGACGTTGACTCTCGATTGTTTGCAAAAGTTTCGCATTAAAAAAAAAAAAATCTACCTGATCTGTACTTGAGAGTTGTCGGTTTCTTTTTTTTTTTCTTAGTTTTTTTTTTCCTTTTTTTTTTTTTAAACTTTTTCCACCTTTAAAAAAAAAATGCACTACTGTGTGCTGAGCGCTTTTCTGCTCCTGCATCTGGTCACGGCCGCGCTCAGCCTGTCTACCTGCAGCACGCTCGATATGGACCAGTTCATGCGCAAGAGGATCGAGGCGATCCGCGGGCAGATCCTGAGCAAGCTGAAGCTCACCAGCCCCCCAGAAGACTATCCCGAGCCCGAGGAAGTCCCCCCGGAGGTGATTTCCATCTACAACAGCACCCGGGACTTGCTCCAGGAGAAGGCGAGCCGGAGGGCGGCCGCCTGCGAGCGCGAGAGGAGCGACGAGGAGTACTACGCCAAGGAGGTTTACAAAATAGACATGCCGCCCTTCTTCCCCTCGGAAAGTAAGTACTGTTTTTCGCTTCCATTCCCCGAGGCTTAGCGCTGCCCGAGGCTCTCGGGGCCGCCACGACTCCAGGGATCGCCCTTCCCGCTCCGGGTCCCCGTCTGCGCCCCCCCCCCCCCCCCCCCGTCCTCCGTCCCACCCACCTCCTCGCCAGTCGGGTGCCTGAGAACGTTAGGCTTGCAGTCGGCGACTTTCGACTTAATTTTCTCCATTTCTCCCTTCCCCCAACGCCTCGGTCCCGTACGAGGCGCGATTCTGTCCTTCTGGCCCCCGAAAGTCTCTTCTCGGCCACCAGCCAGGAGTCAGCCCCCCCTCCTCTGTCAAACGAGAGGCGCTCCCTAGGGCAGGGTCAAGCTGCGACGTCCCGGTGGGCTCGTTTTCTTGGCTTGGCGCGGAGCCCGCCGGGCCGGCGCACCAAGGGTTAAAAAAAAAAGTGGCTCAGAGCTAGCCTCTCCGGAAGGCGCCCCTTTCCGGGCCGACCTATCAGCGGGTTCCCCAAGCCTTCCCTATTGTCTCTAACGCCCCGAAAAATGTCAGCATCGTTGACACAAAACCCGGTTTGGAGACCCCTCGAACACTGACTCGACACCCTCGACTCTCGCATCTGTTGCCACAGCTGGGTGTTTACACTCCCCGCAGAGCGAGCCCTCGTCACCACGTCCCCTTTTGAGTTCACCTGGAGTGGTAGAAGGGACAACGTCGCTTCTGACGGGGCTTAAAAGCGTTTTACTTGGCGTTATTTTCCAGAATCCACTCAGACCTGTCTTAAGATCGCTGCTGGAGCAGATCGGTTTCCTCACGGGGTTTACCGTTTATCTTTCCTACTCCTAGAGCCTCGGCTCCCGGCCCTTGCACAGGCTTCCTTGCAGTCACTTTGGTGCATTCCTAAATCTCACGTAGGGTAGAAGACAGCCGATTTTTTCTTTTTTTAAACTGGCTTCTCGGAGGGCAGCTGGCATATAGTAGCAGAGGGAGTAGTAAAGTGATTTATCGTGCAGTTCCTGGGGGGGGGGGGGGGGGGGACCAGTTTGTGAGTAAGGTAATCCAATTTTTTAAAAAAAAAAAAAAAAAAAAAAAAAAAAAAAAAAGCATCATCCTCCAGTGATACCTGAGAGGGTTAAATACCAGGAAGAAGAAGAAGAAAAAAAGCTTCTACATTTGCTATTCCAAATCCCCAGTCATAAACTTTTCATTGGTTGCCCATTTCTCTCCTCCCCTTTCCATGCCCTATATACTTGCTGGCCGCCTTCACAAAGTCTCTGTGTCTTGCCTAAATAGATAATATGGCCATCTTAGTACTTTTGTCCTAGAGGCTCTAATTGCAGGCTGGTACTTCTCCTTCTTAATATTTCTTTTTAGTCTGACGAGTCCCAGTCCTGCGACTTTTCCCATGGCTTGTACTTGCAGGTCTCAGAACGTCAGCCCCTGTATCTAACCCCAGTCTTCCTGGCCACCTTTCTTTGGCTGCACCTTCTCGACTTCTTGTTCAAGAGCAGAGCAGATGCGGGGGATCCTGGCCAGCGGGATGGTTTTAGTACCGTCATGAGGGCCTTCCTCAACCGCCGTGATAAATGCAGACACCCAGCTTACTCCCCTCGGGAAGTAAAGCTTTCTACCTGGGGTGGAGCCAAGGAGATATTAGGAAAGAAAGTTGACTGTAATTGGCCCACAGTGCTTGAGACCAAACAGAAAGTCGAGTGAGTGCGTGTGCTTTCTCAAGCACGTGTATCCGTTCAAGGGGTATTTGGGCTGGTAGGTAGGGAGGTTATATAGAATCTGCACCGTATTTACCTGCGAAAGTTCAGATGAATTGCCAGCACTTTTATAACCGACAGGAGGTCTGATCTCTGCTCCTCATTAAGACAGGTGTGGAGAGAGCAAGTTACCTAAGAGGGTGTTGATTCCTTGCCCTTTCTGGTGCATCTCGGTCCAAATTGCTGAGATGATCCAGCCCAGAATAATGATCATCAGCAAATTGGAAAAATCCTCAGATTGTTGGGATTTCAGAGGATGTCACTGAAGATCAGCCTGTGGATTCTCTTCTCTATCCTACCTCCGGCCACCAAATAGATTAAAAGCTCTGATAAGTCCGGTATAAAAAATATATGCAGATCCTATCAGTTTTCATACAAAGAATGCAGCCTTCTATGGAAGTTTAGGAGCAGAAAACCATATTAAGAGCAGATTCGATACTACTGTGCAAGGGCTGTGGATAATTTTATAGAAAGTAGGTTAACTGATTTTCCAGCACTTTCTAGTTATACTGGAATATAGTGAAGCCTTCCAAAAAAAAAAGGGGAGAAAAGAAGAAATCACTCCACCATATTTTTAAAGAGCAAATTGAAAGTACAGCATTGGCTTATATACCAGCTTTCCCTCTTTAGGACTTTCCACCCAGCTTTTAACTCGGGCGTCACTGAAGTAACCGTGGGGAGGAGTGTGCCTGTCATTTCTTGCAGTGAATCCGGCAAGGGTCATAAGCCCCAGAGATGAAGGCATGGGAAAGATCACTGGTTCACTTTTTACCACCAACTTATTAGTGTTCAGGGAGTGACTTCAGCTCAAATATTACAAATATGCTCTAATTATACTCAATGAGCTATATATCATTACAGATTGCTGATAGCCCTTTGTGGGACATTTTATACAGTTCAGACTAAATATTTTTAGCAATGTGGAGATTTAAAAGTAAAAATATAAGAGATATTGTATATGCCCTCAGGCATATTTTGTTTTAAATATTATCCTTGGCCCAGCATACTGTATAAATATAGTAAATATGAATAGAACTGGCCAGGTGCCAATCTCCTAGGATGAATTTTAGTCAAGAAGGTATTTATGGGATATAAATAATACTGTGTCAACATTTAAAGAAGGGGTCTGATTAGGTTTGAATTTATTCATATTGATCTTTTCACATGCTGTTGGTTTAAGGCTCAAAGTGGAGTTATGCTAAGGTCTACCGATAGTTTACCCAGTGGGAATTAGTAGCCGTCTAGTCCTTTTGACAATGCACTTGATGTTCAAGGCACATTGATTTGAAAGACACTGCTCACAGCTTTAGAAATTTTGAGAGTGAGTCTGTCAACTAGGGTAAGAATCCAAATGATTGACAATTGGAATCGGTAGAGGCTTGGACAATCAAGGGAAGAAAGAGAAAGTTTCACTTTCTATCTTTCCTCTTACTTTATTCATCATCACAGATCGGGCAGTGTTGGGATCCTAACAGGTGGTGATTCCGCCCTCCCCCTCCCTTCCCGGGAACCTGTGGCAATGTCTGGAAACAGTTTCCGTTGTCATGACTTGGTAGGGAAGGGGTGCTACTGGCATTGACTGGGTAGAGGCCGGGTTCTGTTGCTGACCCCCCTAAAATGTACAGGACAGATTCCCCCCCCTCCACTCCCACCACCACGTACATCAGACACTCGTCCAGCCCCAAATGTCAACAATGTGCATGTTGAGAAGCCCTAGTAAGCCTGGTATTGATTTTGGCTTATTCAGTTCTGCTAGGAGTGCCATTTTAAAAGTAATATCCTAACCATAAAATAACTGAGTGTCCAAAAGGACATTAACCTGAGAGCATTGAATAGAAAGATAATTGGAAAGTTATCTTAATTAAGTGCGAGTATGTACTGGACCAGTTTGGTGTGATATGTACATTCTTATTATGCTCTTCGAGCACCTAAATTGAAGACATCAAAACTCCCCATTCATTTAGCCTAAATAATGATGTTGCCCCACTCATCAGTGACTTCGGGCAGCAGCAATGTGATGTTAGAACAGAGCAAGAAGAAATGAGGAGCAGTCTTGGATTTTCCTTGCAAGGAAAATCAGCAGTTCGTGTTAATGAAGAGTAGACCCTCCACCCTAGGCACCGGAAGAAAGTAAATAATTGTGTTGGTTCATTCTATCCTATTGAGCTAGATAAACTGAAAGCTACAGCCCGAGACATCACCATGAGGTTTCGTTTGTAATTGTGGCACATGAGAGTTAAGCATTCAATAGCAAACAACCTCCTTTTCTATTTCCCCTGTAATTTTCCAAGTGAAATCATGGAATGTAGAATGAATACCAATAGCACTATGGTTTTGGTGACTTCGACTTAAGATTCTATTCATGGACATGTCTTTCTGTATACAGATTGCTGGACTCTTGGCCAGCTGCCCAATGAAGGCAAATGTTAGCAATTGCTGGAACAGAGTAGTATTTTTGCTTTATATTCAGGGGTTTTATTTTTTAAGATTCTGTGTGTCCAGAGGTATGAGAAAGAAAGAGAGCAAGATCAAAGACAAGCGGATTTGACCCCTTGACTTCTACCATGATTGAGTTATTAACACACAATGGACCAGACTTTAATTTCTGCATTTTTAATTGTATCATTGCTTGTCCTAACTCTAGTGCCTGACTGTGGTTCCATTGAACTTAGGTCACATTCTTTCAGGATTTCCTCTCCTTTCCTCCTTTTGCTTTTCAAAGACTGGGAGAAAGATGCTGTTTATAACCGAAGGAGTTGGGCCGCTTTTGTTGCCAGGTGAGACCAAGCTCGCTGCAAGCTTCTCCTGAGGCGTCCCCGTCCCGTGGAGGCTGGGCTTTGCGAAGCTAGAGGGGCAGGTGGGGACCTCTTGACCTGGCAGAGGGACCTGGAGCCCTCTGTGTCTCCACAGCGACCCCTGGGGTCTACTCACGGAGCTGCACTTTCTACATTCTGACTTTTCCCTGGCGAGAAGACGCTGATGTAACCTAGTCCGAGCATCTTTCATATAAAGATATGAAAGAATGACAGATCATTTTTCCTAGAGGAAACTGAGACGCGAAAAAAAAAAAAAGGGGGCTAATGACTCACTGCTGATCCCACATCAAATCTGGGTTAGCACCGAGGAGGTCACTGACTGTTAGGCCTTCGCCCAGAGATTACAACACACTTCGGGCTGCATTTTTAGAAGGTTAGGAAGACAGAGTGGAGGAGCCGGGGCCCTGGGCGGGCGTGCTGGCGACCAC